CATTAACTAATTCTCTCTCTCTGCTTAAGGAGGATGAGTCAAGTCCCAACAATACAATTTTCAACTGTGATACTGGGAGCCTTTACTAGAATAAACAAACGGAAGGGACAGTGTGTTATACATAGAGCCTGGGTATCATGGAAAGGATGTTGTGTCGATAGGGAAAGAATTCCACTCCATACTTTCATTGACGGACCGGCAAAGCGAATGCATGTCGTAATACCCGCTCTCCACGTTCCGGTCAACTGAGCCTGAAAAGACAACCTTGACCACGTCGTTGGTTTCGCCCGGAACCGTTTGGGCATATTCTCCGATTTTGGATGAACTGCCAGAGGTGTCAGGACCAATGACAACCACTCTAGTCTGTACTTCAATGAGCGGGGTCTTCCGACGCTCAAATGGAGGCCTGAGAATTGTTCTCATGGGCTTGATGCACCTGCCCGGCAGGCGGAAGGAGTCCCATCTCACAGCATCAATTCTGACCTCAATAGAGTGTCGATGTTTCGAAGGGTGTTTTGAATCACGAGGATCCCTAAAGCTCCCTCTTGCTGTTGCGCCTTTTTTCCGAGTTTAGAGAATAAATTTGACTGTTCTAGACCCTCGATTCGAATGTCCAGACGTTTGTGGCGGAGGCGTTTATCGAGAAGCCATTGACCTGCGTGTCCACTGGTTTATTTGCCTCGCATTCGCACAAAATGACAATACTTGCCTTGATCCCGAATATCTTGCGGTGAGATTTTAGGAGACGGTGGCCTGGGATGGACAGGGATGGACTTTGCAGCGGCCAAGATAAGCGTAGGAGAAGGAGGTGTATCTGGAAAGAGAGACAGCCTGGTGGGCGACACGTGATCATTCATTCATGAATGAACCTACCGAAATCCTCGAACCCAGAGTCGGGAGGCGGGGTGGCTAATCGCGGAGAACTCTTCTGATTGGTTTTGCATCTGTCGTTGGTAGTGACGGCTTCTCGTTCTCGAAGAGTAAATCAGATATAGTGGGACGTGGAATATAGCAAGCCTCAAAATTGTCCGCTCTGAGCTGAAGGGGAGCATGAATTGATCATTGCCTTGGGAGTGACAATAGCGACTTACGATAGTTCATGTACGTAGTGGCCAGGAATTTGATCCAGTTTCGGCCTATTTTCTAGTCTCACGGTCAACATGACATCCATGTTGATATCCTGGGTGGACCGAGATGGCTTGAAACGCAGTTGGCACGATCCCTTAGAGCATTCTTTATATCAGTCGCCAGGGTGACTTGGTCGTCTTTAGTCATTTTTTCGAAAAGTTTCTTCGCCAAGGCGCGGTTTCGTTCCAGTTCATCACTACTCCCCGCAAACCCTTCAACTGGCCTTTGGTGACGCGTATTTCGAGCCCAGTGAAGTCCAGATTGACATCCTTCGGCGTTTCGGCATTTCGGTTTCGGCGAGGTTCTATCGGAAATTTCCATGTCGTGGAATATGAGTGTTGTGTTTCAACGAGAAACTGGAATAGACATGAAGATGAGGAATTTCAAGGTAGACTTGCACGTACTTGACCACGGTTGGTAGATCGCTGGATTTCGGAGTTCTGTTGGTTTTTGCAAGTCGCTCTCCTTATCAGGAAGGATCCCTGAGAGCAGTCCACTGTTAAGGACACAGTAAGATTAAGAAAGTGGGCGTAGAACAATGTAGGATCACCTCAAATAACACTGCCTGCCTCGCCAACTCCGGGCAGCGCGATTATCCAACCTATACGTTCTCGGGCTGGTCCAGTCACCACTTTTATCTGATCGCCGCACCTGAACTCCCGTTGCAAACATTTCATCGGGATCAAGAGAAGGGTGTCTTCTTTGCTTTGCAGGGCTGGTGGGATCAGTGCTGCTGCGATTCTCTCTGGTCTTCTCCATCTCGGTGGTCTGGGCGATAGCGCACCGCACAGAGACGGATGAATCTTGTCAATGCCATCTACGTAACCCATCAGCCCTTGTTGGGCCCCGGCAACAACGATGACCCGATCGTCAATCGCGAGTGGAGGAAGCGGGGAGAGTAGGTGACGCCGTAAGTTGCAAACCGGAAGCGCTCTTTCATCATGCTCCATGGACCCGTCTTCCAGCGTACTGGAAACCTGATTTACGCGAACACTGGCCATGCGAAGCAGGGTTTATTGACTGCTCGTTGACCCCATTGCCTGGTTATCCCTGTAGAGATGATCGATTCGGATGATCCGACCAGCTTTTTGATCTTGCCGCCCAACTCCGTCGTGTCTTCAAACACAACGCAATCGCCTTCCCCAAGAGCCAATTGTTGAGGATCGTCGGCCAGAAAATGAGCGAATTCCAACATGTTGATTGACTATCGCTGAACAGTTTGAGCTCTGCCTCGGTGGGCAAGACGTCCAAGATGGTCAGATCACCGTATGTCCAAGGACTGAGGCGAAGTCCATTTTGGTAAATGTTTCCCTGCCAGGTATATTCCCGCTCATTTCCGTAGGTTTTTGTGGGGATATGCTCGAGACACTGCTTCTGGATCAAACAAGGTGGCAGGGACCCGATCATCCGATATCTTGCCCAGCGGAATGCGAGGGACAAATACACATTGGTTCCTTTCGGGCACATACACCAAGTCGCCTTGTGATTGCCCTTCGTCCATCGAGCCCATCTGCCGACATAGTCGGGATCGTCGCACGAACGAGAAGCCGCATGACGAGTAAAACGTAGGAGTTCCGGGCGGGCATGCAAAGGGACTGGTTGGAGGTTTTTGGACGAGGTATGGATTTCTGGTGAGATTTTGGAAAAACAAATGGTTGTTGCTTCAACGTACACCCGACCTGATCATTTGTGATAAAATGCAGAATAAATCTGGAGTTCGGGTTTTGTGGTAGCGAGACCCATAATAGATTGGATCAGCTCGTTTTCGCGACCATATCGGGCGTGAATTGTCCACAACGCTGGATCTGGGCGTCGGGAAGTAACATTAATGCCTCGACGAAGCGGAATCAGAGGCTGAATCAAGATTAATCGTCGTCTGGTGCCGTGGTGCATAGCGGGCAGCGAGTTCTTCGAGAAGCCGAGTGTCGTCGAGATTGTAATCGTCCCATTCCAGCTGATGAGCAGGAAGGCTCGAATATTCGTCGTCCTGCTCATCGTCGTTGATAAAGTCTGGAGAAAAGGACATTATTATTGAAGTAGTGCACAAGTCCGCGAGGACGACGCACCGTCACCTCCTTGCTCATCCTCCTCCATGTCCGACGACCATCTTCTTGGGCTTCGATATCGATATATCTAGCGACTGCGTCAGGCAGGATCTGCGGAAACCTCAATATCAGGGAATTCAATTGACTGAGCCAATTGGCCTACATTTGTACGTTGACGCTTGGCAGGGGGGAGAATGTTGTAGCCAGCGTGCACTCGAGAGGCAGAGCTGGTAAGCGCCGTTCTGGGGCTCTTGGGGCGGGACCTTTTTCGTTGAGGTGGCTGGAACTTTTCGAGTCAAAAAATAATTCCACGCATAAAATACATGCTTTACCAAGGTTACGCCTACGTCACTTTGGAGGGACACGCTATTAATCCGGCTCGGGGCGCGTATAAAGGGAGAAGGGGGGGGAGGCATGCCGACATCCCGTGGATCGACGAAAAGATCGACCGAAAGACCGTGTAGCAGATCGGCGGGTGGCGGTAGATACATGGGTGTTGGTGCACGGGACCCAAAAACTGTGGCGACCGCAGCCGCAGCCGACGGCAAATTGGGAGACGGCGAGCGCGACAGAAGTTGTGGGAGAGGCTCGCCAAGGGAAGGAGTCGGCGCGCGATAAAACAAATTGGTATCGCTGCCCGGAAATTTGGAGGCTGTAAGCGAGAAATAGTTCGAAGAGATTCGGTGCGAAAGAAAAGAGGGCTTACATTCCATACTTTAGCGAATTAGTTTGCTTGACGTTAAGGGAATTGAGACGCAGAATGCGCTGGACAGGATGAAATCTGGTGAGTTGCAGACTTATTTGCTTTGGAACTTGTTTGGAACACGAGATATACACGAACGTGAATACTATAGATTTTCGGTGGTGGTTGTAACTTGGAAAGCCTAAAAGTCGGCATCAGGATGACGCACGTGTATCAAGGCGTGGGCTTTCGGGACATGCCGAAAGGACCTGCACAACAATGGTAACTATTTACTTTCTTTCACTCGCACACTGTTCAGTGTTCACGTTCGCACCACTGTGCTTATTTTGCTGCCAAAACATCAACATCCTTCATCCAGCATATAGTTCATAGATTGCGGGCACCAGGATCTAGGGTATATTCGATCACGTCCCAGATAATTGACTGCAGGCTGCAAAATCCTACCAGCTTTCGCTCTCCCGATTTGCGCCCTAATCCTTGCTTTATCCGTTCGTTCATCTTTTCCGAGAATGGCGACTTATACTACGCTCCGGGTTTATGAACGGTAGGTTTAAAGTGTTTGTTCTCTGCTCCAAGTAAGTCTCATCTACCGCCAGCGTGGTGAATACATTCATAGAGTGGCTTTCGAGCCACCCACACTGGCACACCTCACCAAGACATTTCTTCACCACTACTTGGCCTTATTCCCCCGTTTTTATTCTAGATTTCCTCATGTCACGGTCAGTCTTCCTTGCCTGTCCACCATGACGTCAGACTCAGTAATGTACCAAGTCAAAGCAGAGAGCGTATGAGCAGAAATGCTGCTGCCCAAATCCGGGCCGCTCTTTCGCATGAATTTATCCAGCAAGGGTTCGCCGGTACCTGGCATCAAGCTGAGGATGGACATTGGGCTGGCAACCCAACTCATGCAAACCTTGTTTCAGAGCATTTTCTCACTCTTAGATAGTCTCCTTTGTGTTATATCACATGTACGAAATTCATTCCCGCTCAGATATCGCGTTTGGCTAGGCGAGAAGGCGGAGACTTTCAGATGGACGAAGATTGCACTCATGCATTAAATAGTTGCCGTCTTCAACCACGCTTGGCCGTTGGTGTTGGTGACTGTCGTGGCAGTAAACACCAAAGACCACTTGTCCTAGCGGTATGGCACCCGAAAAATTACGTAGGAAGTTTTGGTTTCGTTGCTGGTGAGGTGGGTTCGATTCCCGCAGTGGTCACCCTCCAACTGTTTTTGTCTGCTTCTAGATCTTTTGTTCCATTCGCTCGCAATGATTCACCGCAATCGTATGTAGTTTACGGAGCATATTGAGCTCCTTGGAGCAAATGTGGTGTGTATAATCAACACTTTCAATGAAAATCAACATCAAGACCAGCGATGAATATTCGATAAATGGTTACAAGTCCAAAAGGAAAGAAAATAATGCCTTTTCCAGTCAGCGGACACACCTACTTAAGACACAGGAGCGGACAAAGTCGGCTGACAACAGTTGATCGTAAAATCTACACTACAAGCGCGCATTAGGTACCTATTCTAACGTGGCGAATAGGCGAAGGAGCGCGGTATCTAGCAAGCCGATTTCGTACTGGTTCAAGTGACCGCCGAATAAGAAACCAATATTCCTCAGCCGCTCCATCTCTGTCAGGTGAACCCATCCCTCCAACTGAAGACGAGAACGCACGCCTTTCTGCACGCATACATCATACAACCTGGAGAGGCCGCCACCTGGCACAGCAGCGAGAAAGGCCATGAGACCCTCGGTGTCTTCACCCTCTACTTTTACTTCCACACCCCCGCGAATAGACCCGGCGGAGTTACGTGAAGGACTTGTAGACACCTTCAACCCGACGCTGTGTAACGGAGTCGTCTGAATGGTGTTCTTGCGCTGATCAAAGGATTAATGTTGATGGCGGCCATGGTACAAAATCACCTTTGCAGGGGGAGCTTCGTCGTCTGATATGTAGATCACTGAATGTTCGCGCTGCAGTTGATCAACGGTTGAGCTCCTGCGGCAGTGAAATGCACAGGAAGTACCTTGTTAGGGCGTTGAGATATACGTTCGGCCTCGTGCTTTACGCGGAGCGCCTCGGACGCTTCGTTGACTTGCCTGTAAGGTCCGGGGCTCTGGATTGCACGTGAAACCTCCTCTTCATCCGCCTGCCAATGTTTGTTGTCGCTCGAGGGCATCTCGGCGTCTGCTTCCTCATCGTCGGTGAATAGAGAGTTGTGAGCGTCTTCGTCGTTCGTTGTAGGGTCATTCCCACAGGCTACAAGGGTGTTGTGCGTGTCCTCGGGAGGCTCGTGCTCGTCTTCAGTATCCCCGACTTCGTCTCCATTCCCAATTTCGATGTTGTTTCCCGTAGTCCACTCTGGTGGGATGACGTAGCAGGTGGCATCCGCTGGTGGGAAGTGCTCGTAGTAGTCGCGCCCGGCCTTGACATAGTCGTAGGAGATGTCGTCCGGTGGGCACCACAGATTTTTGATAGACCTCCCGATCACATTGTGAGTAACTCCATTGTAGATGCGACCAATATGTGCGGCGGTGTAGTTGTGGTTGTCCATTATGCGGGAGATCGCGCGTCCAGGACGATCGACTTTTTTGGAGGGTGAACGAGTGCCCATGTCGGAGGGGAGCGAAATGGCTGTAAGTGTTTTGAAGTTGATCGCCCGGGGATTCGGCCAGTATTCCCTACTAGCGTCATCCCTGGCGTAACGACGCGCTCGACCGACCTACTGAAAATAGAAGCACGGTGTAGCAGTTTGTGAAAATTCTCACCGTTTTGGCATTAAGTTTTGGGCTTTCAGGCAGCCTATGCTTGTCGTGGCTCGTGGCAACACTTGCTTCATCGTCCCCGCTAAAATGGTCGGCTGTGTCGCTGTCGAGTTCATCAACCTCCTGGTCATGCTCAACGCTGCTGTGATCATCATCCTCAGCATCCTAGACGGGTCAACTAAGAAAGCAAAACAGCCAAATGGGAAAACAAACACGAACCTCTGTGGAAGGTTGCTCAGCAGCGTCCAGGTCTACGCTTCTGCTGCCAGCGCTTACTGTGACCTGCGCAACGGTTACTAAATAGGGGATCGTTAAAGAAAAAAAAACAGAAGAACATACCACGCTCAAAGTTTGTTCATCCTTTGAAGCCTTGCTGCGGGTGCTGTACCTCGATGTGGTTGACGCCTGTTCGTGAAGGTCAGAGATGATGATATAACCCTGGCACAACGCCATTGCACAGACTTGGGCTTCGGCGGGGATTGAAACGTTCTCGGCAGTACTGCTCAATGAATCTGGAAGCGAGTTTAGCCAGTACAGGACGTGTCGGTAAAGAGACTTACTTGACGTCGTCATCGAGGTTATCATGGTCGTCGTTTCGCAAGGCCTTTTCGACGGTGTCGGTTGTGACACAGTAGACTGATGCAATCTGCTGCATAGGAACGCCGCCTCCGTCTTTGTTAACTTTCCTGGTGATGGCGCGCCCGGCTCGGTCAAGCAACCTAGGCTGTATCAGCCCTGCCCGTGTACTCAAGAAGGCAAAAAATACCGATTGGCCCAGTCTCGACGAGGTACTTTTTCCACGGGTTCGTTGTCCTTGAAATTCCTCCAAGTCGGATTTTTGGCAAAGAGAGGCATAAATGGTCGGGAACGCAAGGGGAAGGCAACGGGAGGCACACGTCCAATCAGTATTAAATGGAGGAGGGCACCCGACTGCGGGAGCACCCGACTGCGGGAGAAAAAGAATTGTTGAATAGATCTAGAGTACTTCAGAAGGAAGGTGACATACCTGATTTTCTGGAAAAAGCCCGCAGCCAGGTCCGCAAGAGCTCGGCAGAAGTCGGCATTGAATTGAAAAGAAAGTCGACATTGAATTGAAAAGAAAGTCGACACGGACAACCTGCACTGCGATTCAATAGGTCCAATGTAGAGGACAGACGCGTGATGTCGGTGAGGAGAGCACTGCGTTCGAAAGCGGCAGTCCAAGGTGCGGTGCCGGCTTAATGGGTCCAAAGAAAGGCGTCAGAGCCGCCGGCGGAAGCACACCAGTGCAGGAGGTGAGTGCAAACGAATCCGATGAATCGGTCGGAAGAGACGAGACGGAGGTCACGCGTCGTGCTTGATCCGCGGTTGGCCATCATTCCGGTCTATGTCGGGATTCGCAAAAAGAAAAAGAAAAAAAGGTCCGCTTCCCCCGAACCCAATTTACGTTAGGTCTAAGGGTGAAGCACTAGTACTCCAACCGCTCAGTGTTGCGTCAATTATGCACGGATGTACAACTACATAAGAATGTAGGAAAGACAGCAGGCAGCGTTCGAAGCGCGCGCTGCAAGGGAAGGAGCTTTGAGAAGTGTTATGGGAGGCGGTTTGCTGCGACGTAGGCGGCAGGAGGGGTTTGCACAAAGTCGGCCGCGGAAAAGTCGACACAGACGAATTCGCCTGCTGGACTGATACGTGGCGTATATTGGCGACCGTTCCCGGCGGTAAATCTAGAGCAAGCAGACATTTGGGCACGCGGTGCTTCAATTAATCGCTGTCGAAAAGCTGAGGGATGTTGAGACTCACCGCGACTTAGTACTCGGTAGGTAGACGTCTTAGAAGCCGGAACATGGGACGCCCTGCAAAGTCATAAACAGAGGCATGCAGGAGTTTATGCTAAGTTATGTACTGGTATTCTGAAGGAAGCAAAACAGAGATCAGTTGAGGGACTTTGAAGGTTGGACGGGAAAGACTCACCTACGTCCGGAACCGGTGTGAGTTGTTTTCACCCAACCGTCGACCATCGCATCCTCCGTCGATAAATCTTTGAGGTTGTAGAACTCCTGATGGCAAACGATACACGTGCACTGTGCACGGTCGGCCACCGCCCCACTCTGTCGTAGCGTTAAGTGTGCAAGGCGCTCTGAAAGCCGTTAGTCAAGGAAAAAGAGAATAAAGGAGCCTACCGATGCGCCTGATGTCCGGTCAAAGCCTTCAGCTACACACTTTTCGCGGTAATTCTGCTGTCGACGGGGTACATCGGTGGAGAGGCCAATTTTCAGCTGTTTGATTGGCATGGCGCTGGTGGTCGTCGGGTCCCAGACGTTAATGATCCGCTTAACGGCGTAGATATCGCCTTTGATGCGCTGGTATAGGCGGCGCGTGGAGTGTATAAGTATCTGCTCCTCGATGGGCAGACGTAGACTGCAACACATGAACAGCACGGAAGGAAGACAGTCAGGATTCACTCACATTGTGTTCAAACGGCGCCTGCGATTTTCCGCCCGATAGCGCAACCGCGGTGCCTGTACCGGTCCCTAGCCCGAGGGTGAGATGCATTTTTGACGCGTGAAGGCACTTACATCGTTGCAGTAAGCGAAGAGTCCTCAAAACAGCCGCACGGCGCCGCGACGATGCGAAAGCCAGAGGGGTAATGACAGCGGGTGCAGCAAAACGGAGGGGCGCAATACAAAACAGGCCGCGGCGACGACTGAGCGTTGTGGTTTAGCGATGCGCGCGGTCAAACGGAGGCGAAGGAGAGCGCGGGCCGACTTGATGACACGCAAGTTGAGCGACGAACGAAGCGGCACGAAGGCGTGCGACAGCGACACGTCAGTGTTGTGCGGTGGTGCGTGGTAGTGACGAACGCGGGGCAAAGAGGTGTTGAGGTGCGAACGACGAGGTGGTGGTGGCGATGAAGGAGAAAGAAGCGTCCGACATCGTGCTTAATGGACGCGACCGAGATAGCGCGCGTTCACACGATGTGCGCAGCGTAGCCCGGGGGATAGAGGAGGCTTAGAAGTCGCGCTCAGTGGTAGAGCGTTTGCGGTGGCAACATGGAACAGTCTGACGAGAGACAGAGGCTCCCTTCAAACGCAAACACGGGCAGGGGAAATAGAACGAACATGTCCAAGTAGGACGATGGAGGAAGAGAGGTAAGGAAGTGAAGGTTGAGGGAGAAAAAGCGAGGTGATCTGTGGACTGGTATAGTAGCTCGGTAGTGGAAGGTCTGGTTCCTCTCGCTTGTCGATGTTCGGCGGGAATGCCGAGATACCTGCCGAAACCCACCATCACGCTTAGTCATGTTTGTTGGCAAGCACCCTTCCCAACTTAGCCCGAACCACGACGATGCCACGATGGATTGTCGGCTACCGAAAACACATCCATTTCGGCCATCTTCAGATTCCTCGTAGGGAAACAATACCCGTGTTCCGTAGCGGGACCACGCTGGGCAATTTCATCTTGAGTCT